TCTGTAACAGAGTCTGGACCTCCAGGCTCAGGCTTGGGTCCCCTTACTGGGAGGTTGTCCAGATGTATCAGACCAACCATCCTGTTGCAGGCCCAGCTGGTCTAGCAGGAGAGGAGACAGAGGTTATGTCTCTTTATAGGCCCTAGGCCTGCCTCTGCAGTCCTGTCCTGCAGGTGCTTGAGCCTGCCTTCCTAGGCAGAGGGAGTTGTGCACCAAACTGTGGCTGGACAACCCCTACCCTTCTGTGTGCCCAAGCCTTTCCTGCCTCTGTTGGGTCAGTTAGCCTACCACCTCTTGTGTCTGCACAGAGGGTCTTGACCCCAGGCCAGCAAGCAAGTTAGCTCAGGCCTCTAAACTAGGGCACTAGGGCAGGTTCCGTGCCAGAGTATGTGACTACACAGGGGGCCTGGTGCCAGTGCAGTGGGTGAGTTATGAGACCTGAGCTGCGAAGTGGAATGGGACCCCCCATCCCAGCTGTCTAACAGATGGGGCTGTGCTGTGTCATTCTGTCATTGTAATATAAATACAGATTTTTATACCTCATCTTCTGGTTTCTAGTTCTTTCTGTCTCCTTGCTTTTCTTCTTTCCCTCCAGCTTCAGCTAGAGGGCCTGACTCACTGGAGCTTGGCTTATCCTGGCCTTTGGGAACCGGCTTTCACATCTGCTGTTTCCTGGCCAGATCCATAAGTCCACCAGCCTCTCCGTGAAGACCTGGGTAGAAGGACCACACACCCTACTCTGCCAGGTGTTCTTGTTGCTGGTCTTGTAGTTTTACCCTTTTGTGGACTAGGACACTGTGGGTCCAAAGACAGCTCAATCCTTATGGGTGCTATGCTGATGAGGTGCCCTCTGCAGGGAAGTTGTTGGGTCTCCCTCCGGCTACACCTTCAAGGACCAATCCCTGGGCCCATCCCACTATTCTCACAGTGACTCGGGCATAGCTTCTGCCCTCAGTCCCTACTGTGCTGAGGTGGAAGTGTGGCCAGCTGTGCTCGGTGCTAGCATGCAGACTTGGACTTCTGAACTGCCCTCACAGAAGCAGCTGGGTGGATGTTAGAACACACAGGATGGGGAAACAGGACAATGTCCCTGACATTCCACCTCCTATAGGGAGGCTTCAGCCCATTCACAGGAATCCTGGCCCTTGTCTTTGGGGACTCTGCTGTCCTCCCTCCTTCAAGGATTTGCCACCTTGAACACCATAGAGGGAATGGATCAGGACTTCCAGAGAGCAAGATGTCACCACACCGAACCCTCTGTAGAACACATTGGGGATGGCCTAGTGGTACCTGCTAGAAAGGTATCAGTCCTCCCAGCAGGCAACAATGGGCTCTGGATTCTTGAATATGTGCACCCTGCCTTCTCTTGGGAAGGAGTGGGACTGGGCAGCCTTTGAGGCAGTTGAAGGTTACTCAGAAAAGGTGTTTTCTCATGTGAACACAATTGAGACCCCAGAATTGGTACAATTTGGATGTTTATGTCGATACGGACATTTAAATCCCAAATACTGTGATTTTGAGCCTACCCCATTACCACTTTCTATTGGGGACAGTGGGCGCCACGGTCTGTGCTAAATACTTCGCATGATTAGCACCTGCTATGATTAGCACCTGCTATAGTCGTGCTGGGTCAGTCTCACAGGAGAAGGCTCCTTCCATAGCTTTCTGGCATACCCAGTCCCAGCAGACACCTCACCAGGACCATCCCTATATATCTTCATGCTTGCCCCCATGTGAGACCCCTGCATGAATCTGAACACTTGCCCACTTTCCTTCTTGGCAGTCAGAGTGACTCCAAGATGGCCCTGCTGTTCTTCCCTCCCTTCATCCCTAGAATTAAATGCCTGCTAGCTCCTGCCCTTTCCCTCAGCCCAGCCTACCTTCAACTTAGCCCTTTGTCCTTACCATCTCATTTTGGATCTCATGGTTAGTTCAAGCCCAGTCTCCTCTGCAAGTGAGCCCCGAGTCCTTTGTCCCTATCTGTCACATTGTTGCTGAGATTCTGGCCGCATAAATTAGGTGGTGGACTCATAGACTAATCTCTAGCGGGACATTGCATAGCTTCTTTTTCCAGCCTTGAGCTAGACAGCTGGAGCACAGGAGCTCTGGATTTTTCCAGTTATACCACTGGCCTGGGAGGGGAGCTGCAGTGGCTGTCATCCCAGTCTTCCTCAACAGATATGAGCCTCTCAGCCTACCTAAGGTCCCGGACTGCTCTGGCCCCTAAACTCCACCAGGCCTCTTGTTATCAGCTTCCAGCTTCAAAGGTGCCTGCCCCTACCCACCACCATGGTGACCCCTTCCTGGTGGTGCTGACTCAAATGCTCCTCAGTTTGGTACTGAGTTTTCACCTTTCTCACATGAGTGTAAACACAATGAGAAGAAATCTCCCCTTCCCAACTCCACGGTCTGCGGAAAGTCAGATTTCTTCTGGAAGAACAAGACCAATAGGAAGAAGCTGCCAGGCCACATCTCATTGGCTGACAGCCCCCAGGGTTCTGCCAGCTCCTGGGGTTCCCTTGCCTTTACCCATTCCTGAGTTGTCCAGTGCCAGCTTTCTCAGACCTTTTGTATTTGAAAAAAAAAATGTAGAATCAAGTTAATACATGTCTGAGGCGGTCACTCCCTTGCTTCCAAACAGCCCCATCTCCATGTTTGGAGAATAGGTCTCTTCACTTCCATTAAACTGCATCTGAAATCAACCTTTAACATCACAGTTATATATGAAGTTTTAAAACTGCCTGAAAATATACTATCTAAAGCATACACTACTTTTTAAATATTGATGACAGGAGAGTAAAACTTCAGCCAAGAAGTAGAAAAGCCAAGCAGCAAAGACTGCCACTCCCGGGCTGCAGCTAGGTTTGTTTCACCAGTGACATTCTCACAGGCTTGCTTAGGCGAGATCAGCTCCTGGCTTCCCTTACCTTTTGACCCCATTAAAACCACAACTGATTTTGAGTAGAAAACAAGCTTGTCTTGGAAATAAGTTTAACATATTTGCCTTCTTAAATTTCCAATCCAATTCCCGGAACACTTCCCAGAGCTGTATAATTAACCCCGTTTTGTTTGTCGTTTGTACTCAGGGTCCCGGTCCTGTTCTAATCTCTATATTCTTATGACTTCTTATGGCCTCATAAACACCTTTCAAACAAATAGCTGTGATAAGTAACTCAAAATGGAGAGTTGGGGGCCTGGAACTGCCCAGGAGTCACTAAGAAAAGTGGGTTTCCTGGAAGGTCTCCAGGGTTCCGGGTTGTGCCTCCTGCTCTGGGGGGACCTCATCCAGAGCAAAGTGGCCTTTTGTCTTTCTGCCATCTTTAATTTTGTCTCCTCTGAGTTCTTCCTCACAATCTATAAATATCTCCAAGTTCCTCCCATTTTAAAACAAAACCAAACCAAAAAGCCCTCTCAGCCCTGCACCCCCCCCCCCCCCCATCTTGTGTCATTTGGCTCTTTTTCTCTCGGTCTTTGCCTCCTCAGCAAAATTTTCCAAAAGCACTGCCTGCACTTCCTCTGGCCAAAACCCACTCAACACCAGCTCCCTGCTGAGCCCCTACCTCCAGCTTGACACCAGGGGTCCTTCCGGGCCTGTTCCCTGATTTCCTAACTCCAGATTAGGCACCATCCTGAGAACTTTCCCCCAGTAATGTTTGATTTTATTTACTCCGAGATTTTATTGGCTTTCAAAAGGAAGATTAAAAAGTGAAACAAGAATTAATAGTAAATGTCTTTAACTCTAATTAATTATCTGCTAGATTGTTAGTTTTTCTCTCTTAAAAACATTAAGAGCTGGGCAGCGTAATTCACACCTATAACCCCAGCACTTGGGGATTCTAAAGTAAGAGGATCTTGAATTGAAGCCCAGTCTGGGCCATGCAGAAATCCTTGTCTTAAAAACCAAACAAGCAGGGAGTTGGAGAGTCGGCTCAGCGGTTAAGAGCACTGTGTGCTCTTGCAGAGGTTCTGAGATCAATCCCTAGCAATGACAGGATGCCCTCTTCTGATATAAAGGCATGCATGCATGCAAACAGAGCACTCATAACATTATTCAAATAAATAAATAAATAACTCTTAACACATAAGTTGGGGGGGGGCAATGCAGAAAGAATTCTACCTAGTAACAGCTAGCCTAGAACTTTGATAAACCACCTCATTTGTGACCGGAGGAGGGGAGTACTGTTTTCTAATGATCAAAGCTTACACCTTGCAAATGTATATGTCATCTTACAAGAGATTGGTAAATTGCAAATGCAGTTTGTTTGGTAAAAAAACGAACAAATGCCGTCCCATACAAACACGTTGTTACCAATGCCAAAGGGCAGTTTTCTGGGATCATAAACCATCAGGCTTGCTTCACTTAGCCGTATTTCAGCTTCCTGCCTTCCATCGAACGACTGTGGCTATCCTAGCAGCCTCAGAATGTCTGTACTTTCGAGTTGAATGCATTCCTTCCACAGCACTCCAAACTTACGTGCTTTCCAGTTTGACATTTTGAAGATGGGATCGTGGAGGAAGTCAGCTAGGCCTTGGGAGTTAAGAACTTTTGCTAAACAACTACTGTAAAAGAATCTATAGCCAATAATCCTGCACAGCAAGAGATCTGTTGCTAGCACCCCGTTAGGTCACCGTGCCGCGGGGAGGGATCTTTCGGCCTCAGGCTTCTGATTCCTAGAGGTGTCGACGATTAAGAGCTATCCTTAGCCTAGGAGGCCTAACTGAACGAGAGAAGCCTGGCTCGCTGTGCAGCGCTCAGCCCAAAGAACCCCAAACATCAACTCCAGGGCGGGGCGGGGAGAGGGCGGAGTCTTCAGCGAGGAAACCGCTCCGCTTGAGCCTAACGGGAAAGGTCGGCGGGCTGGGGGCGGAGTTAATGGGCAGGAGAGCCAATCAGCGGGCTCTTGGCTCCATGCAGGTAAGGGGTGGGGCAGGTCAGCTGTTCTTCCTCAGCCTCTCCGCGATACCACGCCTGCGCAGATATTACCGCTGTTGCTATCTGCGCATGCTCGTCCCGGCACTCCCGTGAGGCACTGCGACGCGCGCGGTTGGAGGTCGCTGACAGCGCCCGCTGGAGTAGCCGGAGGTGAGGGGTTCCGGTTCGGCGTTGGCGGGGCCGCCGCTACCCTCCTGCAGCCAGCTTGAGGAGCGGGTAGCCGATAGAGGTGCTCGGGAGGCTGAGGCTTCGTGCCGGGGCTGAGGCTGCGTGGCCAGTCATCCGGCTGGGGTTGGTAAATTGTTTTTTTTTTCCCGAGTGCTGCGGATAAAACCCAAGGCCTCAATCATACTAGGCAAGCGTTAAACCCAAAATATGTCCCTATCCTTTATGCATCTTTTTGTTTGCTTGTTTTGCTTTTCGAGTCAGGGTTTCTCAGTGTAACAGCCCTACCTGCCCTGGAACTAGCTTTTTTTTTTTTTTTTTTTTTTTTTACTTTTGGTTTTTTAAGACAGGGTTTCTCTGTGTAAGAGTCTTTTTTTTTCTTTTCTTTTTTTATTATTATTGAGAAAAGGAAGAAAAAAAAAAACAAGTTTCCACCTCCTCCCAGCCTCCCATTTCAAATGGAACTAGCTCTTATAGACCAGGCTGGCCTAGAACTCACAGAGATCCTCCGGCCTCTGCCTCCCTAGTGCTCGGATTAAAGGCGTGCGCCACCACTGCCCGGCCCTTTATGCATCTTTTAAAAACAGCAATTCTGTGGTTTTGTGGGTGTGTTTTATTAGGGATCCTAAGTGCCGGAACTGGTTACTCCAGAAACAAAAACTAACCCAGAGATTTTGCTATCAGAGTGTCAAATGTATCGAGATTTTTACAGCCTGCCATTGCCACTGACCTTCGTTTGCTGAAGTCTTGGATCGTTGTGCGCTGGATGAAAATAATACTTTTTGCTTAATGATTGGCTACTTTGAAACTTGTCAGTTTGCCCTGGTTTTCTCTGCATTAGGCTGGTTATGTCTGGAGATTGAGTCGTTTGAACCCGATGAATGCTGATTGATGTAAATATTCAGTTGATCTTTTAAAAAGTGGCATATTTCTATTTCTAAACTAGAAACGACGGGGAAACAACTATTATTTTACAAAATATAGTGCATTTTAAATAATTTCGTCATTGGAAAAATAAGATTTTTATTGTTATATTTTCACTAATTGGGTTTTCATTACTGTTGCAGTGTGTTTTGTTGTTTTCATCAGATAACGAACTTGCATCTGCCTTTCATTTAAATAGTTTCCTGATGGCATCTGATGAAATGATCTGTATTTAAAGTGCATTTGACTTATTTGTACTCTAACACTTGTTTTTTTCCCCTCTAGGAAAGGACACTATAGATTGTATTTCCCCCCTTCTTCCATGGACTTAGTGTAAACATGTTTTTTTCTGTTTGAACTTAGTTCTTAAAGACAGTTCCCATAGATTCATATCAAATATAAGAAACAGGGGTAGGGTAGTTAAACCATGAGTTGTGGAAAGGAGTTTGTGGAAACATTGGAAAAAATTGGTTATCCTAAAGCTGATACTCTTAACGGAGAAGATTTTGACTGGCTGTTTGAGGCTGGTGAAGATCAGTCATTTCTGAAATGGTTTTGTGGAAATGTTAATGAACAGAATGTGTTGTCTGAAAAAGAATTGGAAGCTTTCAGCATTCTTCAAAGATCAGGCAAGCCCATCCTAGAAGGAACGGCATTGGATGAAGTTCTTAGAACCTGTAAAACTTTTGATTTGAAGACACCTACACTGGATGACAAAGAGATACAGAAATTAGAAGATGAGGTTCAAATGCTGCAGAAATTATATAACTTAAAAATTCAGCGACGGAATAAATACCAGTTAATGGCTTCTGAAACTAGTTACAAATCTCTGGCATTAAATGCTAAACAAGAGGAAGCTACTAAGAAGCTAAAACAAAGTCAAGGATTCCTAGATGCTGTGAACACTAAACTCAGTAATGAACTTCAGGTTCTTACTGATGAAGTTAATAATTTGATGATATTCTTCAGAAATTCTAATTTAGGTCAAGGGACAAATCCAATGGTATTTTTATCTCAACTTTCCTTGGAAAAATATATAAGCCAAGAGGAGCAAAGCACAGCAGCCTTAACCTTATATACCAAAAAACAGTTCTTTCAGGGTATACATGAAGTAGTTGAAACTTCAAATGAAGAAAATTTTCAACTCTTAGACATACAAACACCATCTATTTGTGAAAATGAAGAAATCCTTGGGGAGAGACAACTGGAGATGGCTAGGCTGCAGATAGCATACATCTGTGCCCAACAACAGATCTTATACCTGAAAGCAAGTAATTTGAGCATGAAGTCAAGTATAAAATGGGCAGAAGAGAATCTTCATAGCCTAACCAATGAGGTAAATATAAGAAATAAGATTGAATTTGTATTGTAATTGTTAGAAACATAAGGTTTAATATTGCTACTACTTTAGAAAGGGGAAATTTAATTTAATTTTATGTTTTCTCAGTACTTATTTACAGTGTGTATTTCATACAAAAATATTATTAATCGTATTACCAGAACTTAGTAATATATTGCCAGAATTTAGTAATTTTATCTTCAGTCATACTACCTGGTTAATTCTGAACAAAAATGCCTTAATTTGCACTATGAACTTGAAATTTGTGTCATTTCAAAAATAGACTAAACTGGGGTTTCCTTTTATGATATATGTCAAAGAGACTACTTGCTTAGCCGGGCGGTGGTGGCGCACGCCTTTAATCCCAGCACTCGGGAGGCAGAGGCAGGCGGATCTCTATGAGTTCGAGGCCAGCCTGGTCTACAAGAGCTAGTTCCAAGACAGGAACCAAAAGCTATGGAGAAACCCTGTCTCGAAAAATCAAAAAAAAAAAAAAAGAGAGACTACTTGCTTGATTGTGGGTGTTCTGCCTCATTTCTCTGACGAGAAGTCAAAAGTACAGGATTCAGTGGAATGAATTCCTCTTATTGAGAATGTGAAGATATATTACAGTTATTCATCTGTACTCTTTGGAAGCTTGCTTTCCTAATAATCATCAGATAATTGAATAAAAATGTAGGTTTTTCTGAATCGGAATGAATACCTGCATTAAATTAGTTACTGCAAGAGACGAAAATTTGAAATAATAAAAGAATGTGTGCTGTAATCAGCTGATACACTAATACCTATTGAGATAGTTTTAAGAAAAACTAAAATCTTCATTTGCTATCAATGACTAATATGCCGATAAAGTTATGATCAAGATAATAGATCTCCTAGTTAGCTATTACTGCATGCATATTTAATGTGAAAGCACTGAAGTTTTTCTCTTGACTTAGTCCAATATCTTCCCTTTTAAAATTAGTTTTGGATTATACTAATAAGTTACTTTTTATTCAATGAGCATATTATCTGACCACTTAAAACAAAAAAAGTGAAAATAATTTTAAAATAAAAATTTAAACCTACAGTTTAAAATGTTACTGCTTTCTTTTTGTAGGCTGTTGGTAAAGAAAATTTGGATGCTAAAATTTCTAGCTTGAACCGTGAGATTCTAAAACTTGAAGAACAAATCACTCATATGAAAGACAAAATTTTGCCTGCTGTAGTAAAAGAGAACGCCCAGTTATTGAACATGCCGGTTGTAAAGGGAGATTTTGATCTGCAGATTGCTAAACAAGATTGTTATACAGCAAGACAAGAGTTAGTTTTAAATCAGTTGATAAAGCAGAAGGCATCATTTGAGCTTGTACAGTTATCATATGAAATTGAGTTGAGAAGACATTGGGATACATATCGGCAACTTGAAAATTTGGTTCGACAACTTAGTCAAAGAAACGTGGTGCTCTGTCAGCAATTAGCAACGTTAACGGATCCGTCAGCATCTGAGCAGTTAAACTCCAGGACTCCCATCAACACTAAAGATTATTCTACTCATAGGTATGCATATGTCATTGCTTTCTTAATAATTTTTATTTGTGTAAGATACTAGAGAATTTGAACAGAAATTTTTAAAGGTTTAAAAAATTACTTGTACTTAGATTGGCCTTTCTGCTTTTCTTTTATCTTAAACAATTTTGGTTCCCTTTCTGTTCATGTTAGGTCTGAATGTAGCCACTTTAGAGCTGAAGTCAATGAGTTGTAGGAATAAACTAATAAAACATTTACTCCCACTTAGACACCATTATTTACTTTATTTTAGATTTGGGACAGGACATTTGAATACAGCTTTATATCATAGGTTTTGCCGGACACAATACTGACTGTGTTTGGGGAAGGTGGTAATAGAGCGGAAGACTTTATTCCCTGTCTGGTAAGGTAGAGCACTCAAAGTGAAAGCTAGCCTTTCCTGGTTATCTAAATAATTGATGATACCAAGATACTGAAATTAAAAGACTAAAGAATACAGACTTCAAAAGTCTGTATTCTGTAAGGTGTAGTGACTCATATCTGTAATCCTAGTACCTAACAGGCTGGTGTAGAAAGATAGTACGTTTGAAGCCATCGTGGACTGTAGAAAATGAATGTTCAGCAAACACCTGTGTTTTAAATCCTGTGTAGTGATGGGATTATACCTTAATTTTAACTTTTTGGAAGCTGGGACAAGAGAATCTTGAATTTGAGGTCAGCTTGGGCTACATAGCAAGAATTCTAGGGCAGCCTGAGTTGCACAATGAGACTTTGTATTTTAAAGAAAGAAAGGATTGGCAGGGAGACAGCTAGGGAGATAGTTCAGTCACTGAAGTACTTGTGTACAAACTTAACCTGAATTTGATCCCAGAAATTACATAAAAAAGCCAGTTGCAGTGGCACACTCCTGTCATCTCTACACTGGAGAGGTAGAGGAGAAAGTGCTTGCTGGCCAGCCAGTTTCACTGAATAAGTGAACTCAGGTTTGTGAGAGACTTTGGTAAAAAAATGAGACAGAGTATTTGAGGAAGAGTCCCAACATCAACCCCTGGCCTCCCTGTGCACATGTACAAACACACAAACACATAATTTGTATCCTATTCTTCATTTTTCTGCAGGATTAGAATAATATACATTAAATCATTTTGTTTATTAGTAAAATGAATGACTTAGGGTTGCCTCATTGTTTTAATTTTAGGGTTTGCCATCAACATCATAGTCCGTGTAAACGTGCTAGTGTGTAATTGTGTGGTTATATTCTCCAGACTGTAATTGGCAACTTTGGATTTCAACCACCTTTATAGTCTGTTAAGATTTGGGTGTGTGAAGGGAGGAAGCTACATGTTGGTATATGTATAAGTAAAAGATATAATGTCTTTTTATAAGGCAGGTGTGACATGTTGCTTTAGATTTTTCTTTTGTCTTACTTATAGGCTGATGGATTTTTCTGCCGTTAAGTGAAATGGTCTTATTAATTATCAGGGTTTTTTTGGTTTTGTTTTGTTTTTGTTTTTGTTTGTTTTGTTTTTCAAGATAGGGTTTTTCTGTGTAGCTTTTTGGAACCTGTCCCGGAACTTGCTCTGTAGACCAGTCTGGCCTTGAACTCACAAAGATCCACACACCTCTGCCTCCCAATTTAATACCAGTGGTGGTACCACCACTGCCCAGCAATTATCAGGATTTTTACCAAACAAAATACTGAACAAATTAAAGTAGGAAGTTTGTTGTTAATGGCTATTTATATAGCTCTTAATTGTTTACCTTTTACAATATTTACGTTTTTAGTTTTTCTCTTTTAATCCCACCACAATCTTGTCCAATAGGCATTTGTTGGTCATTTTTGCTGCTGCTATGTCATAGATGTATTCTATAAAAGAAATGTTTTCTTGGGATGGATCACTGAAGCTTGCTTTGAAGTAAACTAATAAAAGTGAAGTTTGTGTCTAAAATAGGAAAGATGGAGAAACTGGAAATTTAGATATTTCTTTTAAAGAATTATTTATCTTTTTGAGATAGTATCTTGCTGGCCTTGAATTTGCTCTGTAACCTTGAGCCTATGATGCACCTACCTTAGCTTCCTGAGTGCTGGGATGGCAGGGTTGTATCATATGCTCAAATTCAGGTATTTCTCTTCTGAAATAGTATTATATTTGTGATGTTTCAGTTGATCAATATTAGAAACACACAAATTACTACTTTTCAGTTGTTACTTAGCTATCATTATCCATGACCCAATATGGTAGGTTATAATTTTGAAAACTGCTAACATGAACATTTTTCTCTTTAATTTTATATTTTAGGCTTTATCAACTTTTAGATGGAGACAATAAGAAAAAAGAATTGTTTATAACCCATGAACGCTTGGAAGAAGTGGCTGAGAAATTGAAACAAGATCTTTCTCAAATACAAGATCAATTGGCAGTATCTACTCAAGAACAGTTTTTCTTTCTGTCCAAACTGAATAATGATGTGGACATGCTTTGTGATGCTTTGTATCACGGAGGGAACCAGCTATTGCTCTGTGATCAGGTGAGTGTTTACCTAAGAAGTTTAAAATGCTGTTAAAAATATGCTTATTGTAAAGGGCCAGAGAGCTAGCTCTTGTAAGAGGACCCATGTTTCATTCCTAGCACCCACATGGTGGCTCACAACCATCTGTAACTCTGGTAATGGGAGTTCTGACATCCTTGGCTTTTGTGGGTATCAGGCACACATGTGGTATACATATACACATGCAAGCAAAAATACTCATTCAAATAAAAAAAAAATCATTAAAAATGTTCTGCCAGGCAGTGGTGGCACATGCCTTTAATCCCAGCACTCGGTAGGCAGAGACAGGCAGATCTCTGTGAGTTTGAGGTCAGCCTGGTTCACAGAGCAAGTGCCAGGACAGGCTCCAAAGCTACACAGAAAAACCCTGTCTTGAAAAACCAAAATAAGTAAGTAAGTAAATGAATGAATAAAATAATTAAATAAATGAATAAATAAAATAATGTTCCTTATAAAAGAAAATAAATGCTTTTATTTAGAGTACAGAGTCTTGTTGTATAGCCTATGCCGGTCTCCAACTCACAATCTCCCAGGTTCTAGGATTATAGGCATATGCCACCATACAAAACCTTATGGTTTTTTTGTAACTACTAATACGTATTCAGGTAATTTTGAATGTTGTGTACATAATTTGAAAGTAAAGTTTTCAGCCACTATAAAAATGATATGATTTTGTATTAGGGAAGAAAACTTGTTATTTCAGCAAAGAGAGGATTGCTCGTCTGTTTTAAAATCTCTTTGTGTACTTATTGGTACATGCTTCTTCTAATGGAATTCCCCAACTTTTTTGTTTTAAACATGTTTCCCAGTGACTGGTCTTTTAGATGTTAGTAGACATTTTTTCAGCATATTCTTTTTTTTTTAAATTTTTTTTTAATTTTTATTTTTTATTGAGAAAAGGAAAAAAAAGTATCCGCCTCCTCCCAGCCTCCCATTTCCCTCCCCCTCCTCCCACCCTTCTCCCGCTCCCCCAAACTCCTCTCCCCCTCCCTCTCCAGTCCATAGAGCAGTCAGGGTTCCCTGCCCTGTGGAAAGTTCAAGGTCTGTCCCCCTCCGTCCATGTCTAGGAAGGTGAACATCCAAACTGGCTAGGCTCCCACAAAGCCAGAACATGAAGTAGGGTCAAAACCCCGTGCCATTGTCAGCATATTCTTTTTTAAAATCGCATTTATTTGTGTGTTATGTGAGAGTGTCATGATGCACAGGTGGAAATCGGGACCATTTATAGTAATTGGTTCTCTTCTTTCTACCATATCTTTCCAAGGATTGAACTATGGTTGTCAGGCTTGGCTGTAGATGTCATTGTCTACTGAAGTGCCTCTCTAGTCCATCACTGTGTTACTCTTGAGTATATTTTAAAGGGGAAAAAATAAGCCAGTTAAACTGAGTAGAATATTTATAAAGCCTCATGGTTAATTCCTAATTGCTCTGAATTGTTCTGTGATTCATAATTGACACATTTTTCTACATCAAGAATATTAAGGAAAACTGTTTGGTTCCAAACAGAATCTCACCACATAGCCCTTGTTGGACTAGAACTTGCTACATAGACATGTAACAGTCTTTACTTTGCCTCCAAGTGGTGGGCTTACAGGTCTGTGTACTAGGCCATCAGAAACCACCACATAATGGCCTCCATGATAAAATGCATCTTTGTTTCAGAATGTTATGATCTGAAAAAAACTGTGTATCCCAGTTTGGCCTCAAATTTAGAGCAATCCAGCCTTCCTTTCCTACTGTTGGTATTGTAAACATGAGCACCATCCATGCCCAGCCTGTTAAGTGTTGTTTTTTTTTTCTTTTTAAATTTTTTATTACATTTATTTATTTTTGTGTGTGAAGGCTCACACACCTGTCGATCAGAGGACAATTGGGAGTCTACTCTTTACTTCAAACGTGGATTTGGGGGATCAAACTTGGGTCATCAGGCTTGATAACAAGTGCCTTTGTCCACTGAGCCATCTGTTCAGCCCTCTTTTTGTTTTTCTCTAGTTCTTTGTTTAAAGATAGGATCTCACTATGTAGGCCTGGCTGGTTTGGAATTAACTGTGCAGATCAGGCTATCCTAGAACTAAGAGATCGTCCTGCCTCTGTCTCCCAGGTGTTTATATTAAGAGTCTGTGTCATCACTCCAGCCTAACAGGGCTTTTTATTGTGATTATGAGAAGTTTTTCATTTAATAGAATTTCCTTTTAAATTTTAGAATTTCCTTTTAAATTTCTAGTTGGTGTTAGTGATAAAGTTCTTGAAATAAAGGGTTTTTTTTCTCCCCTTTTCAGGAGTTAATGGAACATGTTCATCGAGTTGAATCTAAGTTGAATAAACTAAATCATCTCCTTACGGATATTCTTGCTGATGTGAAGACAAAAAGAAAACTTTTGGCAACTAATAAATTGCATCAAGTGGAAAGAGAATTATATGTATATTTTTTCAAAGATGCAGACTATCTAAAAGATGTTGTGGAAAATTTAGAAAACCAGTCAAAGATTAAGACCTGATCTTAAAGACTGAAGATTTCTAAAACTGAATCTTTACTATGCCTGCTGTGTTTTAATTTTTAACTATTAGGATGCTATTTCTAATAAACACTACTAATTTTTCTTTTGACATTTACTTAGTGTGTGGGGAGGGATGGGTATATGTGCAGTCGTGTACAGTAATTAGTGTGTACCATGTCGCATGTGTGGAGGTGAGAGCGTCTTGCAGGAGTTGTGTTACTCTTCTACCACAAGAGCTCTGGGAATGGAAATCAGGTCGTCAGTCTTGGTAGCAGAGATTAACCCACGTCATCAGCCTCAGTGCTACTAGGGTTATAAATTTAAGATCAACAGAACATTTTATTTGAATAGATTCAATGTCAAGTTGAACTTCCCTAATATGAAAATTTTAAATACTCCAAAATTTGAACCTGTATTTTTAAGCAACTGGAATGTTTCTCAAATGAAAAATTCTACATCTGATCTTTCATGGCTTGTCAGTCATAAAATACATACACTAAGTTATAAAGCTACCTTCAGTCTTAGTTGTATAAAATTTTGTCTGAAATATGAATGAATTTCACATTTTGACTTCATTTCTATCTCTAAAATTTATAATTGTATACAAAAATTAAAATATCTGAAGCACTTTAGTTCCACTCATTTAAGTTAAGGGATGTTCAGTTTGTGACATTGGTTTTGAGGTTGTATAAACATTGACTGGCTGACCAGACTGGACTTGAACTCACATCAGGCATACTACCAAGTACTTCTCATCACTGTTTGCTTGGTGCCACTTTATCTTGTCAAATTTTTACTTGCAGGAAAAAAACATGGTATACAAATGTTTTAAGTATAACTAAATTTCCTTAAATTGGCATTTTCTGCTGTTGGGTATTTCAAAATTTTGTAGAATTTGGGGTTTTGTTTTTTAAGGTTTCTGTTATCTGAGGTCAACTGTGATCTGAAAATAATTTTAAAAAATGACAGGAGTAAAGTTTTTTTTTCAGAAGTAAAGTTTTAAGTTGTATGTCATGGACTCTGAAACCTCCCACCTAGGATGTGTTCTACCTTTGTTTAGTGTATGTATGCTACATACTTGACCTTTTTTAGCAGGTACATAGATTTCCATACTATGTGTAGTTTCATTGCGGTTTGGAATTTTATCCTTTGTCGGTAAAGTAATATTATTGTATATTCAATAGCCAAGTCTTGTGTTTGACTAAAGTAAAATTCTGCTGAAGTATTTTCCCCTAATTTTCTGTTGTAATTTTTGGAAGTTTAAATGTGTCTGCTTGTATCACAAATTTTGAGCATTTCTGTTTTAGGGGCTGGGTTCTGGTGGCTGTACTAGAGCTTTAACCACTGTGATTATAGCATAAATAATGAAATTTGAAATATAAGTTTCAAAATTATATACAAATGGTTGCTTAAAGGATTTATGATATATATTTAAATCACTTAGAAAATGTTGGACAATTATTTAAGATTTGAAGTGGCTTTTTAGTTGGATTTTTTTCTTTTTATAGATTCATTTTGTTTTGTTTTTAAGGTAAGGTCTTAAATCTTTTCGCCTATATTGGTCTTCAGTTTATGATCCTGACTTGACTGTGCTGGGATTATGAGTGTATACCACCGCACGAAATTTCCTATCGGTTATTTTATCAAAAGCTCCCAAAGAGTTCATTTTATGATATGTCTGTGTCAAATAATAAATATTTTAAGTTCAGCTATAGGAAATACCTCTAAGAATATTCTTTACCTTTGTTTTATGGTTCACATAGTTTTATGGATATTTTCAGGATATAACTATAGATAGAAAGTGGCCATGCACTGTATTTTTACAATCTATCAAGCAAATGCATTTCTGTCAGTTATTGTATCATGTTACATAAATTTATTTTTGTTAGGTGAGCCTAATATAGTTAAAAAAAACATTAAATTTTATCATAAGATTTAACTGTAAGGCCAGTCTGACTCTTAATACCAGCACTTGGGAGGCAGAGGCAGGTGGATCTCTGAGTTCAAGGCCAGCCTGGTCTACAAATAAAATTCTAGGACAGCCAGAGCTGTTAAACAGAAACCCTGTCTCAAAAACAAAACAACCCCTCCCAAAACAATTTAACTGTCAGCTGTTCATTTTAATGTCCAGAGATAAGGCGTTTAAATTCTTCTTTTCTCAAATAATGTGGGAAACGGTTAACTGCTTTCCCGGTGGGTGCCAGATAATTTAGCTAGGAAGCAGATAATTAATCTGTACCACCCACTAAACCTTCACCTACTCAGCCGGTGGACCAATAGAGACTTGTCAGTCCCAAAGTGGCAGGTTATTTGTCTACCTTGATGACCGAGGTCAGGTTTAATTACCGTATTGCAGAGTTATATGCTTGAAAATAGCAGCCAGCTTTCAGAACTGAGGAGGAGTTAAACTGCTTACCTCATAGTTGGTTAATTAGAAATTATTTTTATATGTTTATTTCTCTTTTTTTAAAATATTTTATTTATTATATATACAATAGTCTCTCTGTGTGTATGCCTGCAGGCCAGAAGGGGGCACTAGACCTCTTTACAGATGGTTGTGAGCCACCATGTGGTTGCCGGGAATTGAACTCAGGACCTTTGGAAGAGCAGGCAATGCTCTTAACCACTGAGCCATCTCTCCAGCCTGTATATGTTTGTTTCTCAAAGGAGCCTCTGGTTGGTTTTGATTTGATTTGTAGCGCTGGGAAGCAAGACTAGGGTTTATACATACCAAGCAAGAGGGAACTGAGATTGGTATGTAAAATGAAAAAAGATAGTTTGTTTTCTTTTAAAAAAAAATAAAAATAAAACAGCTTTAAAAATATTTGAGACTGGGTCTTACTAATCTGCCCAGCTGTCCTCGAACTTGCTCTGTAGCCTAGGCAGGCTTGAACTATGTCTTCCTGCCTCAGCTTCCTAATTCAGTTTTACCAACAGGCCTCACTTCTTTCTCCATCCTATTTGTGTTAGATAATCGAAACCTGTTTCCTGTAGTTATTAATACCTTTTAAATGAAAATATATGTAATCCTTTTAAAGTCTTAAAATTAATATATGGGTACTTATCTTGTATTTAGGACTTTATGAAAATGGAAAATTATGAGGCATGTGTAGGTTTTGATCTCTGTGAGACACCCCTCTCTACTCTTGCTCAGAAGATTATGTGTGCTATGCGTTCAGGTGATTTCATGGATTCTAAGAATGAGGGAGAGAGTACAAAGAGTAAGTAATTTTATGAGTCTTATTGTCTTAAATGTTACTTATTTTAAAAGCTTAAGACTTAAAAGTGAAATGAATGTAATAAAATTATTCCCTAGAACTTTATATTTTGTAGGGAATTTCTATTGCCTACAAAAGAAGTGGTTTCCAATACCCTCCCTTCCCCATTCTTTGTGACTAAATTGCTTACTAAATTCAAACTCCTTTAACCCCTTTGCTTTAATACAGCACTCTTCCTTGTTCCGGGTACTTTAGTATCTTCAAAGGAGATGAAATCTTTCCTAATGTCTCTTGGATTATTGAATTTGTAAATTACTTGCTTTTATATATGGCCACAAGAGAAGTGTTTCTGTCATGTGCTGCCATACAATATATAAATTCTGGGTATTAGAGAAGAATGGGTTTGTGTATGTGGTTTATGATGTATGGCATGCTAACAAAAAGCTGTGGCATAAACTCTCAGGCACAGGTATATCTGAAAGTTTTGTAACATTAGGGTTTTTTAACTAGCAAAGCCAGTAATTTGTTTTATTTCTTTTTTTCTAAAAACTAAGTTGTAAGTCATATTAAATTAGGATATTGAGATAAAATCATTGAGAGTATTTCCAAGTATTAACAGAAATGCTGTCTATAAACACAATTTCTTAGTTACAAGATACTAGCACTTGGGGCTTGAGAGATGGCTCAGTGGGAAAAAACAGGCTTGAGCAGCTGAGTTTGAGTCTGTTGTATTTAGGTAAAGAAGTCAGAGGTAAGGCTATTTGTGTCTAATAACAACATTGGAGGTAGAAGAAGCAGGTAGATCTTGGGAATTCACTGGTCACCCAGCCTAGATGAACATTAGTATTTAAATTGCTATAATCTTGTCTTTTTCAAAATCTTCTCCTTGCTCGAAGGTCACACCACTATCCTGACTTTTATCACAACTGCTTCCTAATGAAAGCGTTTTATATTGCTTCAAGGACCTTTTTGTCAGGGATTACTTATCTATCCCATAGGAATCCAGACTTCCTTTCTGAGTTACAGAGGTGTGTGCATGGCTCAGGTTCATTGCATCAGGTCCTATCAAGATAGTGAGTACCCCTTCTAAGGCATACTTGAAGATGGCCAACTTGCTTCCCATTTGGAACTCAAGATCATTTCTCTTCAGTTCTAGACTAAATAACAGTATTATGGGGTGGGGATGAAATAATATGTCAGAAGGACCTTGGGCATGTAAGTGCTTAATGAAACAACAGCTCTCTCACTGAGACCTTTATCTCAGAACAGGAAAGAACTAAGCTTACACTTTGTCCATTAAGCCATTGTATTAACTCTTGTGCCTTTAGCTTAGGGTTTTGTGGTGTTTTTTTTTTTTTTTACCTTAACTTACCTTTATATTCAGAATTGAGTTCATCTATAAATGTTTTGCCTTATATTGTTCAGTAATATTGTTAAAAGTGTTTGGCAATTACTGGGGTCAAAGGAGTTTTTAAGATTTTTAGCTGATTAGATGCTATGCCATCTTGAGATTAAGCATGTTTTAATCAGTATATGTTTATTTTATCTTTATTTTCATAGAAAAACATTCCACACATTTATTAGAACTTTTAAGCTGGAGTTTAGAGATGTATTTTGTATTTAAAATATTTTTATAAAAATGAATTTATAAAAGCTTGATTCTCTAAAGGTATTTGGGGAATACATTCACATTTAGTATGAAGCTTATCTTTATTCCCACTATCTAGTAGAAATATTTAGCAATTTCAGTAACAGAATGAAAAACTAAAAGGCAGAATAGATCTATGATTATATTTCTTCTAATTAGGAGTAAATGAGTAAACATTTTTATGTGTACCAAATAAATATAAAAATCCTTATTACTTCAAATCATTTACACAGCCTTGCAAGGTCTTAGATTTTAGTTCCCAAGGCCACTGCCCTCTGCCTCATGGATATTTTTGAGGTAGCCTCTAATTTTTTTCAAGACAGACTTTGGGGTCTGTCCTGGAACTAGCTCTTGGCTGGCCTCCAACTCACAGAGATCTGCCTGCCTCTGCCTCTCAAGTACTGGGATTAAAGGCCTGTGCCACCACTGCCTGGCTCCAATTGCTTTTTATTTTCAGTTTATTGCCACTTTGGTTGTTTGTGTCATGGCTTCAGGTTATTCTTTGTCCTTGCTCTCTGGAAAGTTTGTCCCTAGGATATTTTCATGTAATCCTATGTAATATCTACCTCCCGTCTGCCCTTTATATTATATTCTACTACTCACTATTTTCCAACACTTTGTTGTCCCAGTCAGATTTAAGTATGACTCCTGACAATGTGACACTTTTCTCATCCATTCCCTGTTGACCTTTCTTCACAGCTGTTAGTGTGTTAGTGCCTGTTTCCTGTATGGACATAGATGCAAATTCTCCCAATAAAGTATTTGAAAACTGAGTTTAGTACCACCTTAAAAACATCTTACAACATGATCAAGTTAGCTAGTTGTTTGTTTGGTTTTGTTTATGGTTTTTTTAGGACAGGGTTCCATTTCTTTGTGTAGCTCTGACTGTCCTGGAACTCACGCTGTAGACCAGGCTGGCTTCGAAATCAGAGATCCGTCTGCCTTTCTTCCTAAGTGTTAGGATTAA